CCCATGCAGGACCCACGGGCTACTCCAGATCCACGGGTCCCCCCGAGATCCATGCAGGACCAACAGTCCCCCAAGACCCACGCAGGACTCACAGGCCCCCTGAGACCCACAGGGCCCAGGCCCATGAGACCCATGGGTTACCGGAGGGCTTCAAGGAGGTCTGTGCACAGATTTCCACTGTTTGCATTTCTTACTGAATATCTGGAATTTGCTGTTAATGCAGCAAAGTCCAACAAATAACAATGAATTTGCAAAAAAAATCCAATTAACTTCTACTCTCTAAATGTACCTAAATATTAGAGGTTCTCTTCAAAAAAGCAAATCAACCAAACAATGGGTTGATAGGACTATACTTTCTAGTAAGTGTAAGTGTCTATCCATGGGAGTTTTGCTTAAGTTAGTGGATAATTCTACAAAAATGCATCTCGACAACATTTGTTACTGTTCTTTGTCATTTTGCCTTTTGTATAATTCATATGTGTAGGGAGAAATGTCAAAGATCAGGAAAGATAATTTTTTTGTTTTTGTTTTTGAGGTAGAGTCTCGCTGTTGCCCCAGATAGGATATAGTGGCATCAGCCTAGCTCACAGCGTCCTTAAACTCCTGGGCTCAAGCAATCCTCCTGCCTCAGTCTCCTGAGTAGCTCGGACTACAAGCGCACACCACCACACCCAGCTAATGTTTTCTAATTTTGGTAGATCCGACCGTAGTTTTGTTATTATTTTTAAAGGCCTCACATTTTTAAAATTTAATCATAAAACTATCAACTTACGGAATTAAGGAATAATAGGCCAGGCACAGGGGTTCATGCCTGCTGCAATCCCAGCACTTTGGGAGGCCAAGGGGGAAGGATGGCTTGAGGCCAGGAGTTCAAGACCAGCCTGAGCAACATAGCAAGACCCCCATCTCTACAAAAAAACAGAAAAACTAGCCAGATGTGTTAGCATGCCTGTAGTCACTGCTACTTGGGAGACTGAGGCAGGAGGATCGTTTGAGCCCAGGAGTTTGAGGTTGCACTGAGCTATGACTATGCCACCGCACTGCAGCCTGGATGACAGAATGAGACCCTGTCTCTAAACAAAAAGAAAAAGGAATAATAGTTCCAATTTTTGAAGCGCAATGAATTGTGCAGCATTTTTGCAACATTGATAGCAAATATCATAAGGATAATTAAAAAAATAGACAAACAGTAGGAAACTGTCCCTAAACCTTACCACAGCTCAACAGTAAAAGAAAAATTACATTTTTAACTTTAAAGTTGATTCTAATCTTTAACCAAATAAGGCTGCAAATGAAATAACAAATTGTGCCACTTAATAAATGTGAAAGTGATAATACAGACCAAAACAAACCTTGTTTTACAATCCAAATGAAACAATCCAAACAGACAATTCCAGCCAACGGCCAAGGCCCCACCTTACCCCAGCAGCAATGGGGTCCTGCCTAGGATGGGCACCCATCACAGCCCTGTGCTAACCCCAGGCCAGAGTCAGAGGAGGCGTCGGGGTCCAGGCCCCCTGAAGTGGAGGCCGGGGAGTAGGAGTTCTGCTAGCAGCAGGTCCTCACGAGGGACAAATATCCAACGAGTTTCAGGATCTCACATCTTACACAGCATTTTGAAGAAAAAGCAAGTAACAAGTGCACAAGGTCCAAAGTAACAGGTAAAGATATTTGTCTCACATATTCAAATGGTTAAGAAAAACTTACAAAGGTTGGTTTGTAATTCCTGGAGCAAAATCACTGGCAAGAATAAAATGATGAGACTCTGGGAGCAGCTAAGATCCTTGCACTTGAAGCTATCAAAGAATCTGACACCACTGACACACACCCTGTGGTCTGACGTGGGGGGCGTCATGGCTGGCTCCCGGTATTTTAAATTACAAGGTCATTCCTAAGAATCCCATTCGTAATTTGTCTGCCTCATGTGTAGGGGTCCATGAATCACGAAAATCTCAATCGTAGCAATGACGACAGACGGGCTTACACCAACCAGAGAAGCTGGACTGTTACAGCCTCACGTTTCACATGCTGCTATACATACAACTGCTGTCTACTTGCCGGATGTTTCTCGGGCATAGGCCCTATACTACCCAAAACCTGACAAATGCCAGGCTCTCATGATACTACATAATACTACAAATGTTCATAATACTACAGTGCTGGGCAGCTTTACCAAGACCCCGGCGACCCCACTGCTGCCTGGTGTGCTCACCCTGTGGGATCCTTTTCCCACAAGTGTGCATGGGGCCTAGTGACTCACTTCTGACAGAGAATTTGGCAGAAGTGACAGAATGTCACTTACAAGATGAGGTCATGAAGCCTATGACTTCCTTCCTGTTCCTCTTGCTCTGTCGCTGTCTCCTGCTGGGCTGCCCACAGAGAGGCTCACAGAGAAAGGAAATGACGTCTGCAGCCAGGATGCAGGTCCCCCCCCCCACTCCCCGGGTTGAGCCTCCAGATGAGACACAGCCCCAGCTGTAAGAACCTGAGCAAAAGGACCCCGCTGAGCCACAGAAACTATAAGATAATAACTGATTGTTGCTTTAAGGCACTAAGTTTTGGGGTAATTTGTTACACAGCAATATACAAATAACACACTCAGCACTATCACAGCTTTAAAAATGCAACAATAGGAAAATAAAGAACCTAACTGAACATGAATATTCAGTTTTGCAAGTCTTTTACAAAATTTCACAAAGCAAAGTAAGTTTTAGAAATAGTAAAGGATATGTCAAAAGAACAAATCCGAAGTAAGTGTTGAGTAAAAAGGTCCCAAGTGTGGTTGTATTTGGCAAATAAAAGTTTCTAAGCTAGACCATTCAGGGACACAATTTGGTTGATACTCCATTCTTTGAAATGTTAAACTGAAAACCTAAAGTGGTTTTCTCCTAAGTTACCAAGACGTAAAGTTGTGGCCCAAAAGGAAATACTGAGCTAACCAATTTGAGCATCTCTTGGGAGTCCGCACAGCTCAGAGTTTCAGATTTACCCTCCTCCTACTGCCCAACTTCTGGATGAGTTTGCAAGCCTGACCCCACCTGATCCTTCTACACGTGTATCCCACTTCCATCCACTTGCTCATGCGTCACTCATTCTTCCCACAGACACGTACTGCTCGCTGACGGCCCGGCGGCCAGTTAGGGAGCTGGACTCACATGCTCTGGAAACACACCAGACAAGGTCTCTGGGCACACTCTGGAGCCCTTCCCTAGTGACAGAGCAGCAGATATCACCAGCTCCTCAATGCCTCATGCAGCATAAACACTGCACCTTGCTTTTTCATGACCACTTCCAAATGAAAACACTGACAAGTTCCAGATGAAAGGCTGATTCAAAGGTTTCAGAGAAACAAAGACACCTCCCACCCCCAGTATCCTTTAACACCTTCCTTTCCTGGAGTTGAGAAGGTGCACCATTGCCTGCTCTGACTTTGCCGCCCTGGGCCAAATGTCCCCAAAACACTTGAAGTGCCCACACTCCCAGTTTAGATTCCTTCTCCTGCCAGCTCTTGGGATCTCCTGGACACTGAAAACACTTCTACATTCAGGATGGAGGGTGCACTCATGCAACCTTGAGCAGGGAGAGGAGGGGCTGAAGATGCTGGCCACTGGCCACAGGGCCAAGGCAAGGAGAGGACAGCAGCCCTGGAGGAGGGGCTGAAAGGAGGGGAGTGGGCACAGTGCTAGCCTGAGGGGTAGAGCCAGTGTGCACTGGGAATCCCTTAAAACCCTTGAATTCCTGGAGCTGGAAGGATGAGCCCCCAGGTGCCAACCAAGGCAGTACCTGCCAAAGGTCTGAAGGTCTGTGGGGTTGGCCCAGAAACTTATGACATTAAGGTGCTCAGAGGCCTCATGGAAAGAGTGTTTTGAACCCGTTGGGCTCAGTGACCAGGATCCCAGATGCCTGTGCCTTCATAGGAGGTGGGTCCAGTTGAGGGGGAGGGCAGATTCAGGGCACCTCTGGATCCCACCCCAGGGCTCCAGCACCCCTTAAGTCTAGTCCTGGGGTCTACATGCTTCTCAGTGACTTGTTCAGGAGTCCCAGCTCTCCCTGGGACCTGTCTGGAAGCTTCAGCTCTTATCAGGGTCCTCCATGAGAGCCTAGCCTTCTTCAGGGTCCAGACCCAGCATCCTCACCCTAAGTGACCTATCTGGGGTCCTGTTCATCCTGGAGCCCTCCTTGCAGTACAGTCTCAGTGTCCCAGCCTCCCGGGGAGGAGGGGATGTCTCAGGGTCCCAAAAGTGCTCAAAGGACTGTCCCAGGGTCCCAGTCCTCCCCAGTGGGCTTGTCCTAGAGTCCTAACCTTCCCACGGACTGGCCCTCCTTAGTGATGGTCCCAGTGTCCTGGCCCTCCTCTGTGACCTGTCTCAAGTTGGATCCTCCTCAGTGACTGCTTCGAGGGCTGGACCCTCCTAGGTGACCTGGACTCCTGGCATTCTCTGGGTCCTGTGAGGTGCACAGGCCCAACCCTCCTTGGTGACCCTTCCTGGTGTCCCAGCAATTCTTGGTGACCTGTCCTGGGGTTGGACCCTCCTGGATGACCTGTCGTGAGGTCCTGACACTCTGTGGGTCCTGCCCAGTCCCAGCGGCTGACCCTCCTTGATGACTGGCCCTCCCAGGGTCCAGCACGGTGTGGGGTCTCGGCTTTCCTAGGTGACCCTTCCCGGGGTCCAGCCCTCCCAGGGACCTGCCCGGTCTGGGGTCCTGGCCCTCCTGGGTGATCCTTTCCAGGATTCAGCCCTTCCAGGGTCCAGCCCCTTCTAGGTCCAGCCAGGTCTGGGTCCCGAACCTCCTCGGTGACCCTTCCCACGGTCCAGCCCTCCCGGGGTCCGGCCTTCCCAGGGGCCTGCCAAGCCGTTCCGGGCTCCCCCGGCCAGGCCGAAGGGGACGCCCGGGACGCGGGCCCCGGGTTCGGAGCCTTTCGGGCCGGACACGGGCCGAGGCCGCGGCCTGAGGAGCGGGCGCCGCGGGCCCAGGCCGGGCGGGTAGGACTCACTGACCTGCGGTCTCGGGCTGCGGGCGAGCGGGGCGAACGCGGGGGCCGCGCCGGGAGGGGGAGGGGGCGCCGCTCCCTCCGGGTCCCCCCCAAGAGGAGGAGAAAAAAAACCCGTCCGGAGTTTAAAACAAAGAGGCGGAAATGCCCGAGCCGAGCCGAGCTCCAAGTCGGGGGCGCCGCGCTTGGAGCATGCGCGTTGTGCGGCTCGGCTCCCACCCGGCGGCCGGGGCCGGGGGCGGGGCCTGGAGGGCGGGGCGGGGTTGGGTGTGGTCAGAGGGCGCAGGCGCGTCCGAGCAGGGCTAGGCCCAGGGACACGGCGAGGAGAGAGGGTTGGGGGACTGAGTCTTCAGGGCGGGGTCAGGAGGGCGTGGTCAGGGGAGAGACGGGGCCGGGCTGAGCGGAGGGTCGCGCAGGGCGCGGGGTGGGGAGCGCGGACGAGGTCTGCTTGGGCGGACGCAGGGAGACAGCGTGCGGCCTGGGCGTGGTCCGGGCCGCGGGGGCCGACTGGGACCGACCCGAGCCTGGGTAGTCCAGCTTGGGGTGGCTCCCCGGGGCCGTCTGGCTCCTGCGTTGCTGCCCTTCCAGGAACGAGTCCCGCGGGGCGGGTGAGCGCCTGCAGGGGCGCGGGTCCACTCTGGAGCTAGCAGCCGTGGCCGTGGCGTTCGCGCCCTTTGGGGTCCGCGCTGCACTGGGGGTGCGATGTAAGCAAGAGGGGAACTGGCGTGGTGCGGGAGGCGGCAGGGGCACACTGGAAGGGCAGCGCGGAGTGGGGGCGCGCTGGGGCGCACCTTCGGTGCTGGGTCCGTCAGACGCCCTGGTGGAGCGCGGTGCGGCAGGGCGTGCAGGAGTGGAATGTGAGTTTGGGAGTCTAGCTTGTAATGTCTGTAAATGGTCAACGGGATGACACCGCTGTCACACTCGTGGAGAAGTCCGGGGCCTGGAAAGACCCACTGGGCAGGGGACCCCCAGGACTGAGCGAGGGAGGCCGGCGAGGGGAGGGGAGGAGCCAGCAGCTGGGAGGGGCTTGACAAGGGCCGTATCCCACAAGGCCTTGGCCCGCACCACGTGGATGAGTTGTTGGGGATTCACCGGAGGAGGGCAGAACGTGGAGATGTGACCACAGACGACATTTCAAGGCGTTTTGCTGCCCAGGGAAGCAACAGAACGGGGCTGTGCTGAAGGCGGCGGGGGTGAGAGAGGGCTTTCTTTTGGGGTGGGAACTCCTCCCGCTTGCGTGGCGCAAATGGGCGGTGCAGTGTGTGTGGGGGGAGGGTGACCACGCTGGAGAGGAATGAGGGGTGCCTGCTTGTGGGTCCGGGTGGGGCGGCCGATCCTCTGCCCATCGGCGTCGGGGGGAGGTGGGAGACTGTGGCAGAAGGAGGGTGGAGGCCCCAGGGTCGATGTCAGGACAATGACCCAGGAGGGTGGAGACCCAGCGTGCACTGCAGGTGAAACCGCAGTCCAGAATTCATCCAGGCCCGGGTCCCTCGCACCCCAACATCTAGGCTGCCAGCTGCTCTCCTAGGCGACCTCTTCTCGCCAGCAATACCCCAGGCCCCGACCCCGAACCCCAGGCTCCTGTGTCCTGCCGCTCAGCCACATTTTGTTGGGATGTCTTTAGGAGGCTTCTGGTTCCTGGAGGTCTGCTGTCCGTCACAGACCCTGCTTCCGTCTGCCAGTAGGCAGACCAGGACCCTGGGTCCTCCTGGCCTTCTTCCTCTCATGCCCAAGCAGCTCAGCTGACTCATCAGAATCTGTCAGTCATGCCTCCCAACCTTCACCCTGGTCCAAACCATCACCTCTCCCTGGGTTTTCCAATAGCCTCCAAACTGGTTTCCCTGCTTCTTTCCCTGGGCCCTGAGTCTATTTTCAACACAAAATAGTGACTCTCATAAAACATTATTCAGGGCATGTCCCTCGTCTGCTCAAAACCCTCCAGGGGCTTCACTCACAGCCAAAGCCTGAGAGTGGGGAGGTCACAGAGGCCTGGAGAAGCCTGGGATGTTGGAAATTAAGTGTTGTCTTGGTGTAAGGTCACAGGTGTATGCATGTATCCAAACTCAGCAAAGTGCACACTTTATATATGTGTACTTATACCTCAGTAAAGCTGATCCATTTTTCCGTAAACCTAAAATTGCTCTAAAAATAAAATGTACTTTTTTTAAAAAGCAAATTAATGTAACAAAAGAATGCAAAACTAACATTCTAAAAATTATGAAACATCATCAAAAGAGATTAAAGAGGACCTAAATAAATGGAAAGACACCCCACGTTCATGGATGCAAAGACAATATTGTTAAAATGTCAATACTCCCCAAGCTGATCACTCAATGCAATCCATATCAAAGTTGGCATTTTTGCAGAAATTGACAAGCAGATCCTAAAATTCATATGGAAATTCAAGGTACCCAAAATAGCCAAAACAACCATAAAAAGAACAAAGTTGGCAGATTCCCATTTCTTGATTTCAGAACTTAACTACAAAGCTACAGTAACCAAGACAGTGTGGTACTGGCATAAAGGACATATAAATCGATAGAATAGAATTGAGAAATTTCACTCCTAGGTATGGAACCTAGAGATCTGAAAGCAAACATGCCCACAAAAACTGGTACACGTATTCATAGTTGAAATATTCATAATAGCCCCAAAGTGGAAATAACCCAAAGGTCAATCAACAGATGAATGAATAGATAAAAGGTAGTATATCCATAAAATAAAATATTGTTTGGCAATAAAAAGGAAGTACTAGTTAATATATGCTACATACAACATAGGTGTACCTTGAAAACATTATGCTATGTGAAGGAAGCCAGTCACAAAAGACCGTATATTAGTACTATGTGATTCTATTTATATGAAATGTCCATAATAGGCCAATCCATAGAGATAGAAATCAGATTACTAGTTGTAATGGGTTGGGGGGGTTGGAGGAAATAGAGAGAGACCTGCTAATGAACATGGGGTTTCTTTTTGGGGTGATGAAATGTTCTAGAATTGACTATAGTCGTTGTACATATTTGTGAATATATTAAAATCTATTGAATTGTACACTTTAAATGGGTGACTTGCATGGTTTGTGAATTATGTCTCAATAAAGCTGTTTAAAAAAGAAAATTATAGGCCGGGCCCAGTGGCTCATGCCTATAATCCTAGCACTCTGGGAGACAGGTGGGAGAATTGCTTGAGGTCAGGAGTTCAAGACCAGCCTGAGCAAGAGCAAGACCCTGTCTCTACTAAAAATAGAAAAAATTAGCCGGGTGTGGTGGTGCACACCTATAGTCCCAACTATTCGGGAGGCTCAGGCAGGAGGATTGCTCGAGCTCAGGAGTTTGAGGTTGCTGTGAGTTAGGCTGATGCCACTGCGCTCCACCAGAGTGAGAGAGCGAGACTCTGTCTCAAAAAAAAAAATTACAAAAGAAACTATAAAATAATGATTAAAAATGAAACTGCCGTATGTTTATCCCCATGGGAAAAATATTATATAACCAATTCATGCCATAAATGTACACATTAGATACACATAAATAACCATCTCACACCGTGCACAAAACAGATATCCATCTCAAACATATGTAGAAAATTGGATACCCTTTCCCCACTATACATACCAAAAAATGAAATGTGCATTTCATACTATGTACAAAATATTAGATATCCAACTTATAGCACACACATATACACACATAAAAATAGATACCCTTTCCCAATATATACCAGAAAAATTAGGTAACTATTCTATAACATGCACACAAAATAGTTATGCCACACAATGCACAAAAAAAATCATACCAATTTCACACCATTAGAGAAAAATTAGACACCTATCTCACACCATATACACAAACACACACAACCTATGTTCCACCTCAGAACATCCCACTAAAAGATACACCACATCATACCTAAATTAGATACCTATCTCAAAGTATTAAAACAGATTAGACCCTACTGGGAGGCAGTTCTCCATTAAGATGTTTCTGTATGGTCCAGGTCCTCAGAGAAAAGTCATTTATGGCCAAGTTGAGGATGTTTGTCTAGGAGACACTCTAGGATAGTGAAGCTTAAGAAGTCTCCCGCCTTGGAGACATTGCAGTGTAGAAAGGAAAAAGCTGTCCTCCCCTCCCTGGAGAGGGTTTACTTACATTCCAGGGTAGAGATCAAGTTTCTTTGGAAAGGAGGATGAAGAGGTCACCAGCAGACCTATATAAGACTTTCCTAACTTGAGGATTCTTCTTCTGAAATGCACCCCACCACATGTTCAGGTGTCACCCGCATTGCCCTGTATAGAGGGGCTGAGGAATCAGGACAAGACTGGTAGCTGCCAATCTGCTGCTTTTGCTAAGTGGTGAATGCTTTGTCTCTGAGCCAGGGGTCTCATGTTTCCTGTGTACATACATATGTGAACCTGTGGCAGGCTAACTTACTAACTTGTGAGTAGAACAAAATCTCAGACCCTTCACGCTTCTAATTTAACACATACTCATTTTATCCCCCTGCACCCATCTACTACATCTGTCTGTACACAAAGAAATTAGATGTCAATTTTATCCCATACAGACAAAAAAAAAAAAAATTTCACACCATCTATACATATACACAAAAGACAAAGACCCATCTCACACCAATTATATTAATACAAAAAAATTAAATATCCAACTCATACCACACACACCAAAGACTATACAGCCTGTATAACACAACATGAAGACACTGACCTCATACCAGACACATACACAAAACAGATGAACATTAGGCCCTACATAAAAAAATTAGATACCTACCACACACACACACAGAGTACCCATTTCACACTGTGTATACATGAAAGTAGATACCTAACCACACAATGTGCAAAATGTTAGATAGCTATTTAAACCCTACACACACAAAAAAAACAAATCTCACACCATACACACACACACGAGCTACTACCTCACACCATACATACAAAAAATTGCCTATCACACTAGACACACACACAAATGAGAAAACCAGCTTATTCGACCACTTAGACTGAATAGGTTCAAGGAGCAGAGACAGACTGGACCAGAGAATTCTTGATGGGAAGGCCAGCAGGTTGGGCTCCTGATACTTGCTGCAACTGTTTGGGCCTTATGTGAGCCCCATGTGGGACAGGGAGGTGAGGAGGCCATTACCCGAGGGCTCCTCCCTAGTGGGGCTGCTGGCACAGGCAACAGTGGCCACAACCTTCCTTTGTTTAGGTAAACACACAGGTTCACATTCCAGGGCGGATCTGTAAACTGGTGGACCTTCCCCCTCCATGAGGATGAAGTCACACCGTCATTTCTGAAGCAGCCTGGGAGTCCGGATCCTGGTCCCTGCTGTGGTATCCCGTGCGTGGGCTTTCAGCAGCTGGGACCTCAAGGGAAGTGCAAGAGACAGGTGTGAGTCATCGTGTGGGAGAAGAGGTGTGCTTCTGGGACCAGGACCAGCAGCCTCCGCACAGGATGCAAGTGACATAGGATGCACGTGAGATGTGGGCCACCTTGTGGAGGAACCCGTCTGGCAGGCCCAGATGGCGGGGAAGGGCCTATGACAGAAAGGCCACGTGCCCCAGGAGGTTTCTATTTTCACCCAGACCTTGTGCTGGCCAGCCCTAACCTGGGGAGGCGGTATGGGCAGACAGGCTCCTGCCCTCACACCACTGATGCTCTCCGGGAGGAGCAGATAAAACCAAGTAAATGAAAAAACAGGATGGGCCCTGACCTCTCATTGTAGAAGGTGAGATTTCCTCCCCGGTATCCTCAGAAACAGTGCCCTGGCCTCATGCTCTGGTCTTGGCAAAGCGACTTCTCTCAGTGGCTTGATTTGAACAAGATACTGTTTAGGGAAGACACATTAGCTGAAAATGCTTCAGTTAATGTTAGTTTGGGGTGCTGATAGAAGCCTACATTTGATTAAAAAAAGAGAGATAAAGACACTGAAACATAGATTTAGCCATAACGGTGTGTGTTGAATGTTATTTTACACGTCTTTGAAGATCATTTTCAAAAGCAAGATGCTAGGTGCCTTTATGTGGAGATCACCAAAGGACATCTTCAAGAGGTGACTGTGTCAAAGGTGGGCAGATGGATTCTGGGCTCAGGATGGCTCTCCTGTGGACAGTACATACTTGGATTCAAAACTCAAGCAGGTTAGACGCTTACGTGGAAGATACTCGTGGAGAGTTAAAACTTTTTTTAATGTGAGAAGGGAAAAGGTCGTTGTTTCCAAATGAATGGACTTTCCATGTTATATGATTTTTTAAAAATTAAACTTCTTATTTTGAGTTAATTGTAGATTCATATGCGGTTGTCAGAAATAATTCAGAGTGATCCTTTGTCTACCCTGCCCGGTTTTCCCTCAAAGGCAACAGAACACAAATGTATTAATATCACATCCCTGGTACTGACATTGGTACAATCCTCCCGTCTGACTCAGGTTTCTTGTTTTGCTCACACCCATCATTTGTGTGTGTGCATAGCTTCATGCAAATGTATCACACATGTATGCTTGTGTGTCCACCACCACAGCCAGGATGTGGGCTGTTACCAGCACCGCAAGGGTCTCTCCTGGTGCCCCTTTCTGGCCACGCCCACCTCCCTGCCACCCTCACTCCTGCCCAATCCCTAAACCCTGGCCGCCACTAATCTGTCCTGCGTTCCTATGATGTTGTCTTTTCAGAGTGTTACATAAATGGAATCGTACAGTTGTAACCTTTTGGGATTGGCTTATTTTCACTCTGAATAATTCATCCAGGTTGTTGCATTAACAGTCCATTCCTGCTGAGTAATGTTCCATGGTGTGCATGTACTGCAGTGCTTGACCATTCCTCACTGAAGGATGTCTGGGTTGTTTCCACTTTTTGGCTATCACAAGTAAAGCTGCTATGAACGTTTTGGCACAGGTTTTGGGGTAAACATAAGTTTATTTCTCTGGGATAAATGCCCAAGAGTACAATTGTTGGGCCATATGATAACTGCATGTTTAGTTTTATAAGAAACTGCCAACATTGTTTTCCGTAGTTGCTGTAACATTTTACATTCTTACGAGCAATTTCCAGTTACCCACAGCCTTGCCAGTATTTGGTGCTGTCACTGTTTTTTATTTTAGCCATTCTGAAAGGTGTGTAGTGGTATCTCACTGTGGTTTTAATTTGCATTTTCCTAATGGCTAATGACATTGGTCATTCATCATTATTTGCCATTTGTATATCCTCTTCAGTGAAATGTCTCTTCATATTCTTTTGCCCATTTCTAATTTATTTTTTTAACTGTTGAGTTTTGTGAACTCTTTATATATTCTCAATACCAGGCCTTTCTTAGGTATGTGGTTTGAAAATATTTTTTTCTCAGTCTGCGTGTACAAAAACCTTTTGATAGGAATTGCATTAAACCTATAGATCAATTTAGGGAGAACTGACATCCTTACTATGTTGAGTTTTCCAATCCATGAACATTGTATGCCTCTCCATTTATTTAAGTCTTCACTGATTTCTTTCATTAATGTTGTGTCATTTTTAGCATATAAGTCCTGTACATGGTTTACTAAGTTTATACTCAAGCATTTTAACTTTCTTTGAAGTAATTGTAAATGGTATTGTGTCTTCAATTTTGGTTTCCATGTGTTTCTTGTTGATATATAGAAATGCAATTGATTGTTGTGTGCTGATCTTGCATCCTGCAACCTTCCTGAGCTCACCTACTCAACCCAAGAGCCCTGAGGGATGGGGAAGAGGAGTCCCCACACAGTGTATGCTCAGCAGAGACACAATGGTAGAGGACGTAGCCACTGTGACTGCCCCATTGTGTGGGGACAGGCTCAGACACCCAAGCCTGCAGCTGGTGAGGGGGAGAGTTGCACCTAAGCCAGGTCCCTCAACAATGAAGCCTGTACCACCTCTCCCTGTCTGCCAGGCGAGGTGGGGGATGTTGAAGTCCCCAGGCCAATTGCAGCATCCAGAGGAAGGCTGTGAGGGACCAGGTCCTTGGGGAAGGGGTGAGCAAAGGTGAGGAGCAGGACGGCAGAGGAGATTGGGGACAAAGATGAGGGGGGAAGAGACAAAGGGAGAGCTGAGGGGGAGAACTCCCGGACCATCAGGGGTCTCAGGGTGGGATAGCCTGGTGGCCCACCGTTCTCTGGGCACCCCTGGGTGAGCTCCATTTTCTTTTTGTTATTGGACAGGACTCCACAAAAGAAATCCCAAAGTGGGTGACTCCATCTGACACCCCCCCTCATACTAAGCCCTCACTGCAAATGCTGGACCCTCACGGTCAACTTGCTTGGACACAGGTGTGGATGACAGATGGGGCCTGTTGAAATACATGAACGTTTAAGACAAAACATAGGAACAATATTGTGCATGTCAGACAACAGGGATGTGATTGAGGGACACGTCCCACTAGTACCTCCACCCAGACAGCCTCCTTGGGTTTCCCCAGAGCAAGCCAGGCACAGCTGTGGGGGTCAGGCTATTCTTGCAGACATGCTGGGACACCCCCTCCTCTCTGCCTTCCAGCCCACAGGCCTCTGTCCTAAGCAGAGGGACAGAAGCCTGTGCCTACTCCTCTGCCCAGCTGTTTTCCCAGCTGCAAAATGCAGATAACAACCAGGAGAATGTGTTGTGGGGCTGCCTACTGTGTGGGGGACGGGGGCGGAGCGCAGACAGGCTCTTCCCGGCCTCCCCTTCCTCCTCTTGGCCAGCAACGCTGCCCTCCCCCAGTCATGCTTCCCTGCCCCCAAGTCTGATGACTAGTCTGGATGTGAGGCTCTATGCAAATCCAGCCTCTTCCTATAGGCTGGCCTCTGCCTCTCCCTGTGGCTTGCTTGGAGCTCAATAATTTGGGGTCCAGAGCTCCCTTCAGGAGATGCAGACTTTTGCTCGGGCAGTTACTTCAAGTCCCCCTTTCCTGCATCCCCCCACATGGGCTTGTCCTGCGTGGCTGTGACCCGGTTGGCCCCTGCAAGGGGAGACTTTTGTCCCTGTTTTTGTGGCAGGGACTTCCATCCTCAGGCTGAGGGAGCAGGGTTCCACTTCACCGACGGGTCCTCTTTCCACCTGATGGTTGGGGACCTCCTGTCCCAGCTCTTCTGGGTGGGCGGGGACTGACCCAATTGCCCCACCCCCGCAGGCGGTCCTGGCGCACGCGGAGCGCTCCTAAAGTTTGCACCGCGGGGACCGGTCGGTGACTCGTCAGGGCGCGTCGGGTGATGGCGGAGCCGACTAGGGCCGGGCCAAGGGTGGCCGCGGACGGGCCTGTAGCCTCCACGGACCGGACGGAGACAGCCGAGGCCGAGCCGGGGGCCGCCGAGATCCGGGCCCTGGGCGCACCGCCGGCCCACCGTGCCTACGCGCGCCGCTGGGTCTTCCTGCTGGTGGTCAGCCTGCTCAGCTGCTCCAACGCCATGGTACGGCCGGGACAGACGACGGGGTGCTGGGACGGGGGAGCCCGCGACCCCAGCCAGCGGCTCTGTGCTCGGCCGCTCCCAGCCAGCTGGCTTTCGTTTTCCTTCAGCTACAGCACAGCGCCCAGGTCCGGTCCGAGGTGCGGGCCGCTGGGCACCAAGGGCGCCCTCTCCAGGCCGAGGCTGGCGGTCGTGGAGAAAGGGGCAAATCAGGGCATGGAGCAGGGCCGGGTGCCTGGGAGGGTCTGCCAGTCGCTAGGCCCCAGCCCCCCACCCACCTCTTCCCAGACCCTCCTCAGCCTCCGGTGGCTCCAGCCAGAGGTCTAGGTCCCTCTCCACAACCCATCATACACAGTTGGGCTTGGAGAAGGAACCTTCCTTCATGCTCCCCAGCCCCAGGACAGGTCACTCCCCCCGGCCCCGCCCGCCTCCCCTGTACAGGCGTCGGTAGGCACCAGAGCGGAGGGAGGGCTTGGAGCTGCCCTTGCTGCCCTAGGGCTCTTTGAGGGGCCTCCTGCTCTCGCACACCTTAGGCTGTTATGGCTCCGTCCTGCCACCCAAGCATCCAGGCTGTGGCTGCCCCCACATCACCTCCCAGGCGTGCCTGTCCCTCCCTATGTGTGTGCAGGAGCCTGCCTGTGTTTTCTGGCCCTCCCAGGAAACCTCAGGAACTGGCTGTGCAGCATTGGCCATTATGCAATGGGAAGCTGCAGTTGGTAACAGGACCTACAGCTCAGGGAGGTGCCAAGTTGCTGTGGGACCATCAGGCCTGCGAGCAGTGTAGGGGGCTGCGGAGCTTCGGGCTCTTGCTCTTCTTTTGGTGCCCCTGCAGGCAGGTTGCTAGGGCTGGTTCTCTCCCTCCTTGCTGGGCAGGTGAGGAGAACCAGCCCAGCTGACACCAGCCACATCTGCAGCAGGGCCCTGGGCTCCGCTGGCTGCCCAGTGGCCAGGCCAAGCCCTCGCTCCTGCCGTGGGCTGGCTCCCTGGTCCCCTGTCTAGACACTGGGGAAGCCATAACTGGCTCTGGGTGGTGGTGAGGGTGCTCTTTGGATACGGAAAGGCACTCTACTGCAATGCCTCACCTTATCTACAAGTCATCACGGAGCAAACAAAACTCCACCCCCACACCGAGAATTGCTGTGGTCACCACAGTGAGCAGACAGCATCATATTCCCCTACCCATGTGTCCCTGAGACCCCCAGCTGCTCGCCTGCTGCCAGGTACCAGGGATCCCAAGTTCCGAGAGGGCAGGTGGAGCAGAGCTGGGGATGGCCCCGAGGAGGGATCCAGCACCCTGGATATGGGGGTGGCAAGGCCAGGAGCGGAGGGAGTTCTTGCACATGATGAGTTAGATAGTCATCCTCCCTACATGTCTCTGCCCCATCTGGCCATGGCCTCAGCTCTGGGGAGGGACAAGAACTGAGCTGTGAGTGGGCAAGGGATGGGCTCGCCTCAGCAGGGAAGCTTTGTGAACAGACACTTCCCTTGTCTCACTGGGCAAGGCCAGGCAGGAGGGGACAAGGCCAGGCAGGAGGTGGCAGGGCCTGGGCAGGGGCTCTTTCTGAGCCTGGAAAATCTGTCCGTTGCACTGTCCTGAGAAAAAAGGAAGAAAAAGCAGCTATTGCCCAAGCTCACTGTCACGTGAGGCTTAGCGGTCAGGCCTCCAGCTTCATTATGTGTGGGGAAGCCGGGGTCCCACTGCTCTGCCATGGAGCATGTGCCCTGGAATGCCTCCATCCTGAGAGTTGGATTAATCATGACCTTTGGTGAGTAGTACATCCTTGCCACTGGTCCCTGGCTGCTGGGCACCCCCATAATAAGACTTGGTGACTCCCTTTTTGGCCCTCCCTTCAGGGTGAGCTGACCACCTCCTCTGGGAAGCCCTCCCCACAACCCCGAGTGCACTTGTGCTGTTTGCTGCACATCTGTGGGGTGGAGTCGTTCTGAGACTCAGTCCTGAGTTTGCAGAGAAGCTGGAGGTACCTTTGCCCACCCCCAAAGCAAAGGGCTCCAAGGTCCCTCCTGCCTTTGGACACTGCCATCAGCTGCCCTGCGTGGCTCTGGGCCCCCCACGCCTCCTGCCCTTGTCCACCTGGGCATCTGCCATGGTGTCTCCACCCTCTTCTGGACCTCAAAGTCTCCCAGAATGTGCTCCCCTGCCCGGCCCATCTCAGCACGCTATGTGTCCTTGTGACCAGTCATGGCCGCACCCTCCCTCACCCTGGCTTCTCCCCCTTCACTTTCTGAGCTCCAGGGCCATGTCCAAGTGACTCCACCCCTCTGATACTCTGGCCTTGCTGTGTCTCCCTGTCCACAGCCTGTCACTTCCGCCCCACCTTCCACATAGCTCCTCCGGACGGTGCATGCTCCCCCTGCTGGCAGCCATCACCTACCTCAGAGGATCAGGTCAAGTCCTGGCAGGGCTCACAGTCCTGCGCGCTCTGGTCTGCCCCCCAGGCTGGTCCACAGTCAGGGTCCACGATCAGGGAATGGTCTCCAACCCTGCCACCAGTGGGGGGTCCTTGGGCAGAAAGACCCCATGTCCGTGTTGGGCTGCATCCCCATGGCCTTTACAGGCCTCCCTCAGGTCGGCCGGCAAAGCTGGAGGCAGCAGGGGCCTGGAGCCAGAGCCTGGTGGGCAGTGTCTGTGGCCCTGGGGCTGACTCCTGTGTGCTCGCCGCAGCTGTGGCTCAGCTTCGCGCCCGTCGCCGACACCATCGCTGAGCACTTCTTCCTGTCCATGGAGCAGATCAACTGGCTCTCACTGGTTTACCTTGTGGTGTCCATCCCGTTTGGTGTAGTGGCCATCTGGATGCTGGACTCTGTTGGACTCCGTGGGGCTGTGAGTCAGACCCTTGCTTGCTCTGGGATGGGGAAGGGTCCCCTGCATTTGGGTGGGAGAACTACTGCCTCCTCCCCAGACCAGGGCCCACCATCTCCACCAGCCAGGCCTCCCACGCAGAGCAGTTGGGGCAGCAAGGAGGATGGTGGTCTGGGTGCTGGGAGGGCGGGCATCTGGGGACACGGGGGGTGCCCGTGCTGGTGGCAGCACTCCTGACCCCATCCCTACAGACCATCTTGGGCGCCTGGCTGAACTTCGCTGGGAGTGTGCTACGCACCCTGCCCTGTGTGGCCGTTGGGACCATCCACCCATTCGCCTTCTTCATGGGTGGCCAGAGCCTCTGTGCCCTGGCCCAGACCCTGGTCATCTTCTCTCCAGCCAAGCTGGCTGCCTTGTGGTTCCCAGAGCACCAGCGAGCCACGGCCAACATGATCGCCACCATGTGTGAGTCCAGGGGTGAGGCCACCTGGGTCCCCTCTGGCTCTGTGCTCAGATCCTCTGCTGCCCTGGGTCTCCGGCTGAGGCAAGGGACTAGTGCCAAAAAGGCTCCGCCTGTGGCCTGGACACAGCAAAGCTGATGCGTTTCTCTGTCCATCCAGCGAACCCCCTGGGCATCCTTGTGGCTAATGTGCTGTCACCTGCGCTGGTCAAGAAGGGCGAGGACATTCCCATTATGGTGAGAGAGCTCATGTGGCACCTGTGTGTATGTGTGTGCATACACGTGCATATGTATCGTACATGTGTGCTCTGTACGTGTAGCCATGTACATGTGTGGTGCGAGCGTGCGTGCTGTGCATGTTGTGTGTGCATACACATGTGTATGTGTGGTCCATGTATGCTGTGTGTGGTGTGTATGCATACCTGTGCATGTATGGTGTGTGCATGTGTGCGCTTGTGCATATGCATGGTGTGTGTGTCTCTGTGCATGTGTGATACACATGCTTATGTATGGTACATGTATAATATGTGTGCTGTGTGTGCATACCTATGCATGTGTATAGTATGAGTGTGCGTGTGCTTGTGCATATGTGTGGTATGTGTGTCTGCGTGCACATGCATGGTGGTGTGAGCATGTGTGTACCTGTGCATGTGTGGTGTGTGCATGTGTGTCTGTGTGTGGTGCATGCATACACATGCATATGCGCGGTGCGTATGTGCTGTATGTGCATACATGTGCATGTGTGTAGCGTGAGCATGTGCGTGCTGTGCATATGTACGGCACTTGCATGTGTGTGTTTACATGTGTGTGCTTACACATGTATATGTATGGTGCATGTGTGCTATGTGTGCATACCTGTGCACATGTGTGGTGTGTGCATGTGTATGCTTGTGCATATGTATTGTGTGTGTGGTGTGTGTACACACATGCATACCTGTGTACCCACAACTGTGTGACACACCTGGCTATGTTAAGACCTGCTTCTTATGTGGGTGTGCAGCGGGCAGTTAGATGCGAAGTCTGGTGCTCGGGGAGGTCAGGCTGACATTTTCAAGGAGGGAGCCATCCCTGATGGTCTACGGAAAGCCAGGGCTCCTCATGATACCCCACAGCAGGCGCGGAGGAAGCAGAGCAGCTCTCACAGGCCCTGCGACTCACCGGCTGCCTGAGAGTGGGCAGGAGCGACTGGGGAGAGTGTAGAGTGTGCCGCTGGCAGCCCAGGGCAGGGCCAGGGCGCCATGCGGGGTGTGTGTGTCCACGTGGCCTCCTGTGCACACGCATACCCTTTCCCCAGCTGGGAGTCTGTGCCATCCCTGCTGGCCTCGCCTGCCTGTTGGCCACCACCTGCCTCTGGGAGAGTGTGCCCCCCACTCCACCCTCCGCTGGGGCTGCCAGCTCCACCTCAGAGAAGTTCCTGAACGGGCTCAAGCTGGTTGGTGCTGTGGGATGGGGTAGGGTGGACCTGGGGTGGGAGCAAGAGGCAGGGGAGGGGCACCCCCACCCCCACCCTGGTCTGAGCAGCCCCTCCCCTTCAGCTCCTGCGGAACAAGGCCTACATCCTCCTGGCCGTGTGCTTCGGCGGTGGCACTGGGATCTTCTCCAGCCTCATGGCCCTGCTGGAGCAGATCTTCTGCGCAAGCGGCTACTCCAGTGTGAGCCCTGGGCCCTGCCCTAGAGGGGCTCTGCCTCCCACTGCCCAGTGTGGCTGCGGTGAGGTGGGGGTGGCGGCTGTGGGAGGGAGTGGGGGGTTGGATGGGAAGGTGGGGGCACCAGGATTCTGTGTGTGGACTCTGCGATGCCCCTTCCTATTAATAGCAAGGCCCCAACCCTGCAGGGCTCCAGGGAAGGGCCACCCTCAGTATTTAGGGATGCAGATGGGAGGCCTTGCTCTGCCCATACATCTCCAGGTTGTGCCCTCTGCCCTCTGGCATCAGTGTTGGGTGTGTCTGTGTGTACCTGTGCACGCGTGTGGTATGTGCATGTGCGTCTGTGTGTATACGTTTGGCTTCTGCCCTCTGCTTTCTGCTGGGTGTGGGGTTCAAGGGACATGTTTCTGCCTCTGCCAGGGGGTCATGGGCATTAAGGACCCATGGGGTGGGGACAGGCCCTTCCCCTTAGTGATTGTTTTGATCCTGGGGCAGGGGGTGGCATGGGATAGGACACCCCCCCACCCCTGCCTCCCAGCAGGCCGCCAATAGCGCAGCTGTAACCTGTGTTGTGATGCCTGGGCCTCAAGCACAGCACAGTGACCCTACCATGAGCCCCTTGGTGACAGTGTACTTCCTAAGGATGCTGGCTGCCTCTTGGGCCTCTGGCGGCTCCCTACCCCAATAAATTGCCCTAGCCTCTCATCTCCTCCTCCAGGAGTTTTCAGGCCTCTGTGGGGCTCTTTTCATCATATTTGGAATTCTGGGGGCGCTGATTCTCGGCATGTATGTGGACCGGACCAAGTGCTTCACCGAGGCCACCAAGATTAGCTTCTGCCTGACCTCTCTGGCCTGCGTGGCCTTTGCCGTGGTGAGAGTGCCCTCAAGATGAGACCATGTGCAGGGGTGGGAGAGGGTGCCCTGGGCAGAGGGGCTGGGTTGTGAGGCCTTGGATGGGGCAGTGGGCAGCTTGGCTGGAATAGATGTCTGGACCTCTCAGGCCCAGCCCCTGCCGACTGGGGTGGCCCCTGGATGGGGTGGGTCTTCCTCACACCCATGCAGCTGAGTCTGCTGCCTGCCCAGGGCCAGCGGATCTGACTGTGCCCCCATCTTCTGCCATTTGCTGCCCTCAGGTGTCCCAGCTGCAGGGACAGACCCTTGCCCTGGCTGCCATCTGCTCACTGCTCGGGCTCTTTGGCTTCTCGGTGGCGCCTGTGGCCATGGAGCTGGCAGTGGAGTGCTCCTTCCCTGTGGGGGAGGGTGCTGCTGCAGGCCTGATCTTTGTGCTGGGGTGAGTGTCCATCTGCCCCCGCCACACCCCGGGAGCCCAGGGACCCTCCCCTGTCCCACCTCAGGCTATGCAGCCCAGGCCCTTTTCTATGAATCGAGGGACCTGCCTGCTCTGGCAAGGGCTGAGCGCATACTAAGCACCTGGGCCAGCCACGGAGGCCCATGCCAGCCAGAGCTGTGCACTGCCCTCGGAGTGACCGGTGGCACAGTGGGTGGCACAGGTGTCAGCCCCTTCCCAAGGTGGCATCTGGCTCTGGTGGGTGGACAGTGATGCTAGCGGGGGCTGAGGGCCATGTGTGTCCAGGCAGGTGGAGGGTGTGCTTATCATGGTGGCGCTGATGACGCTGACTGTGCGTCGCCGAGAGCCGTCATTCTCCACCTGCAAGCATGGCGAGGACCCCCTTGACTGGACAGGTGAGTGCCCCTTTGGGAGCCCCGGGGAGCAGAGGCCAGGCAAGCCTGCCCAGTTGGAATAGCCCTGGAGCTCCCACTTCGTGCCCTACCTCTGGGCCCCATTGGCTCTCCTCAGTGGGTGGGTGCTGGTGGGGTCAGAGGTCAACAGGCAGAACCCTTGGGGTCAGTCAGCATGGTGGGTGAAGCCCAGAGACCCTGACAAAAGCCCAAATGCCAGTGTGAGTTGTTTTAAACCAGGGAAAGAGAAACAGAAACAGAGAGAGACATGGTAGCAGAGATCTGAGAGTGGAAAGTGGGGGGGAGAGACAGAGATAGGGACAGAGACAGAGACACAGACAGAGACAGAGGGAGAGAGACAGAGAGAGGGAAAGAGACAGAGACATATGGTGGCAGAGATCTGAAAGTGGAAAGATGAGATGGAGGGAGATAGAGACAGAGAAAGACAGAGAGACAGACAGAGAGGGGAGTAGGGCAGAGATCAGAGGTGGGGGTTGCACACCCATTTCCTGAGACCCCGTGCTGGTGACCTCAGAGCTTACAGCTGTTGGAACCTGGGTCTGCAAACACCCCTTGGGGTCTGCCGGGGGCTGGGAACAGGGTTTGTGTCCAGGGCTGCTCTGTGGTTTGGTTAGTGGGGTCTGCATGGATCGGGATCACATCTGCCAGGCTTGGCCGTGCTCTCACGTGGGGAGCTCTCTGGTTGTGGAGACGGAGCTGTGTGCTGTGTCCCCAGGGTCCCTGCTGCTGATGGCTGGCCTGTGCACCCTCTTCAGCTGTGTCTTGGTGCTCTTCTTCCACACCCCCTACCGGCGCCTGAAGGCCGAGTCTGGTGTGTCCCCCTCCACCCAGGACATGTGCCCAGGAGCTGAGGACCACGCGTCCAACCCTGAAATCACCCCTTGAGGCTCCCAGCACCGCACTCCAGTAGGTTCTTCTGGCCCTGCCTCCCTCCTCCAGGAGCCTCCAAGGTCCGAGAGACTCTAACCAGGGACATCTTGTGAAGGGGAGGCTGGAGGGGAAAGTGTGGGCCATCTTGGCTGTGCCGGCCATGGCTGAGAGCCTGCCACAGACACTCAGGGGCTTTGGGACACCCAGGGCACGGCCAGGCAGGGCAGACCCTGTGGCTGCACGGAGAAGAGCTACCGCCCTGCAGACACTGACTGGACAGAATGCCCACAGCAGGCCAGACCAGGCGCACCGGGAGGGCGACGCAGCGGCCGCTGGCAGGTGGGGGCTGGCCTGGCATGCGAGTATGGCTGAGGCGCAGCGCAAGGGCGGGGTCCTGAGGGCCCCTCATGGCCCAGTCTGGAGTAGACAGGTGAAGGGAGCCCCCTCCGCTGCTAGCCGGGGAGAGCCGGTCCCAGCCCGCGGCCGCGCACACCCCGCGCCCCAGGGGGACACTCGCAGGCAGTCGGTGGGTGCTCGTTTATTGAGTGGGCGCGCCCGGAGGGGCCCTCACTCCTTTTCCTCTCCTTGGGTGATCACGTAGCTCAGCGCCTTGTAATCCAGATTGCCGGCCGCATCGACGGTGGCGAACTGGAACATCTGGTAGACCTGCGAGCGGTACGCGAGTCGGGCCGCGATTACAACCCAGTGCTCCACTGCGGCCGCTCTGGTCTCGCTTCTGGTCTGACTTCTGCGCGGGGGCGGGAATGGGCGAGGGAGGGACCTAGTGGCGGGGCCGTGGAGGGGCGGGGCTGGGGCGAACAGACCGCCGGGGCCCTCTGCCTGACCTGAGCCCATAGTCGGTCCCCCATTCCCAAGCTGGTCAGCGGTGCCCGGGTGTCCAACACCGTGGGGAGGGCTATGTGAGGTGTGCGGTGAATGGGGTCCTAGCAGGTGGGAGGGCTGTGGTCGCGCGCCGCTGGTGCGGGGCATGCGGGATGGGACAGCATTGCTGTGAGCTCTGCCCCTCAGGCCGGGACAGAGGGCACCGGCCGCTGGGTGGCCTCCAGCCGCTGACCTAACCCCTCTGAGCGATTCCGTCTCTCAAATGGGCACTTGAAGGGCCGCGGTGCTGCAGCCTCTGGGGGCCAGCGCCTCCCCCGGCAGACCCGGGAGCCCAGCTTGAGAGAGGGCTGTGGGGGAAGGGGGCGAGGGCTGCGGCCAAACCTCATCTGCGGTCATCTTGTCAGCCTGGGACATCAGCAGACGTTTGATGCTGAGGACAAGGAGGTGAAGGAGCCCAGTTAGGCTCTGAGAAAAGGGGTGAGTGGGGGTCTGACAGGAGGGGTGACCCCTGGGGGACGGGTCCTGCAGAGACCAGAGTGTGGGGCCCACGCGCTGCACCTGCACCCTTACCCACAGGCGTGGCACCTCTGAGGTCACCACTCAGATGTCATCACTCCTGAGGGGCTTGCCTGGGGGCATCCGATGGGGAGGAAGACTAAGGGAGACCAGAGGCAGTGCCTGTACACCAGAATATCCCCTTTCCCCAGCTCTGGGCACCAGGAAACTCTCCATAAAAGGGGCTAAAGACAGAGCACGGGTTGGAGGAACGATGGCCACCTGGGGTGCCTGGTGCCTGTGCAGGTTGGTCTCCACTTAGTTATCCCAAGGACTCAGGACCTGGGATAGCTGCTCAAGGCCCTGCAGCTGGTCAGGGGCGGTGGGGGGGGGGGGTTGGCATCCAGGTGGCCGACAGTCCCTCTCTGGGGCAGTGTCCCTCAGATCCTAGTCGGGGAGGCCATCAAGGAGCCCTTGGAGACCAACGTACTGCCCAAAGCCTGGCACTCACTATTCTTTGTTGATGCTGCCTTTGCCCTCGGGGTCGAGCGTCTTGAAGGCATTTAGAATGGTCTCCTCGGTGTCCGTACCTGCCCACAAAGAGGCCTGAGCCCTAGGCATTTGGGCTCCCAGTCCTGCTCGAGGCTGCCAAGGACAAACAGGGCAAGAGGGAGACCAACCCTGCTCCCAGGGCTCCAAGCCTCTGTCCACAAGGCATCTTCAACCTAGAAGGCCCCAGGGTTAGCCCAGACCTGGAGTTGGGGGCAAGTGGTCCGTGAAGAGGGACCAAGCCCTTGCCAGCTGGGCTGGCAGCAGGTATGGGACAGGGAATGAGTGTCCAAGCTCACACACTCTGGGGTGGCCGACAGGGGCCCTACCAAAGTGGGTCCCAGAATGCCAGGTCCTGGGACTTCCCATCAAGAGATCGGAAATTGTGGATGTTCATGTGAAATGTCTGGATTTCTGAGTGTCAACAGCCCCACTCAAGGAGGAGGGGGCTGGCCCCAGGCACTCACCGTTCAGTTTCTCCCCAAACAGGTTCAGGAACATGGTGAAGTTGATGGGCCCTGAGGCCTCCTTAATCATGGCGTCCAGCTCGTCATCCTTGACGTTGATCTTGCCTGTGGCAGGCATGGGGCGAATGTGTCACTGGGGAGGACGAAACTCTGCCCCACTGGTCCTTGCTAATATGTCTGCTGTCCCACCGGCAGGTGGGCAGGTGGCCCCAGAGCAGTGCCAAAGGAGCGGGGATGGGAGGTGCTCGGCCAGGCCTGTCGGGGTGCAGGCTGGGGTGTGTCAGCCTCACCCCAAACCCTGAGCCTTGGAGACTAGTGTCAAGGGCAAGAGCAGAGGAGACACAGACCTTTGGAAACACTGTGATCTGCCATCGTTATGAGGGAAGGTGGGTCACCTATGACCCCCCTCCACCCAGGTGGAAACCAGCCCCCAGCTCCCAAGGCAGGACCTCAGGCCAGAGGCAGCTGCTGGGAACAGGACACCCCTGGTGAGGAACAGTGGCCGGGCAAGGCTGTGCAGTGCTCGGAGTCTCCTCTGCAGAGGAGGGGGTGTCTCACACCCTCCCTAGAGCCCCCTGTCCCACAGCCCACCCTGGGTTTTCGTGCTTGGGCTATGCCACCCACCCTGTCTCACCCTGGGATGCTGTCTGCTAGCTCTGACCAAACTGGGCAGCTGCAGCCACCCCCACACAGCCTGTGGGATATGGGGTCAGCTTTGAGGCCAATGCCCTGGCTCCACTCAAGGAGGAAGCGTGAGGGTGTCCAGGTGGATGTTCCCCACTTGCCTCCTCTGTGGGCTGTGATGCATTCTGCCCCGGCACCTACCCACGGAGGCCCCGGCACCTACCCAGGGAGGCATAGGTGTCCTTCAGGTCCTCCTTGTCAATGAAGCCGTCTCGGTTCTGATCCATGAGCGTGAACGCCTGGGGACCAAGGCCAGGGTCGCTGTGCTGCGGTGGGCCAGTCCTGCCCCTGCCTTCGGCCCCCAGCTCATCAGCCCCAGGGCGAAGACAGGCTCCCATGCCTATTGGCTCTGGAGCAAGGCCCACATGGGGTCTTCCCAGCACAAGCTTCTGGGAAAAGGGGCTCCTACCGAAAGAGGAAGTCTCACCTCCTTGAACTCCTGGATCTGAGTTTGCTCAAAGTTGGAAAAGACATTGGATGATGCCCTCTGGGCATGAAGGGCCCCCCCTTCCTTCTTCTTGGCCTTTCTGCTGGCCTGAGATGAGAGAACTGAGGCTGAGGGCCCCCAGGCTGCCTGGTGGAAACTTCTAGGGCACCCTGAGTTTTGGGAGATTGAACTCAAAGGAGGGCCCTTGGGGCTGGAGGGGCCGGGCAGCTGGGGAGCACGCCTGCCCCAAGCCTGGGTGCCTGGGGGCAGCTGCAAGTGTCTGGTGTGGGCATAGGGAGTGGGGGAAGGGCAGTGGCTCCCAGAGGCCCTGAAAGAACACAACGGGCTCAGCTCGTGGCCCTACAGGAGCCAGCTTAGCCTCTTGAGGGTTCGAGGGGCAGATAGACTCTGTGGGTGGGCTTGTTCTGGGCATTGGACTTACATGATGGCCAGGAACCTCCATCCTGCCCCAGACTGTCACCATGGCAGCATGGGGCACGTCCCTCCCACCCCCCACACATCCATACCCACACATGCATACTCATGTGCATGTTCACACACGCACGCACGTTCATGTAAGTGTGCACACACATTTAAACACACTCATGCACATACACATGCCCCTGCCCCAGTGCCGGCCTGGCCACCTCTCACCATGCCTAGGCTGCCTGATGCGATGCCTCTGTGCTTCTCCCCGCCCAGTTCTAGCCCATCTTAAGCTTCTGTCTGGTCCCCCAGGACAGCTCAGACTTCGGCTGCCACTCCCTACAAGGACAGGCTTCAGGCCACCCCAGGGGACTGGACAACTGCAGAGTGAGCTTTAGCAGCCCAGTGGTGACTCATTCACCCTCACCCTGCCCCACCTAGGAAAGCCCTCAGTCTCCCCCTGCCCCGACCAAGAAGGCCACTTGCACACACTCTTGGCTGAGGAGCTGAGGACCTACCCGGGTACCCTGAGCCCTGCCAGGGCTGCAGGAACTGCAGGGGCCAGAGGAAGGGGAGCCTTTTCCAGATTTGCACAAAGTTGCTGTGAGTGGCCCCGGGGACTGGTTAGCAAGCCTTTGCAGAGCACATTCTGTGTGTCAGCGGTTTCTGTGGCACTGTCTTCACCTCCCTGCCTCAATAACAGACAATAGTCAGCCCACAACCCTGGCCCTGGGACCCCCCATTCTGGTCTCACGGCTGGAAGCCCCTGGCCTGGCCCATGGGACATGACATTACTGGCTTGGAAGAGCCTTGAAGGTGGCCAGCCTGCCCTGGGCCAGGGCCCAGGTCTTCCTACTACACCATAGCCTTGTGGGCAGTGTCTGGGGAAGGGACCTGGCCTGGGGGCCATTTGGTAGTGCCAGATGTCAGAGGCCACCTCAGGGTCAGAACCCATGTGCCCTGTTCCCGAGTGGGTCTGCAGGCCAAGCAGGACTAAGGAGGAGGCCTGCAGGTTGAGCAACATGGGCAGGTAGGACCTGAAGCCTGGAGAACAAGCCCTCAGAGCCTCCTGGGCCTGTGGTGGGGAGGGGGTGGGGGGGCAGCGGAAAGCAGGACCCAGGGCAGCCACAGCCCTTGGTGCTGCAATGGGCGAGGGGTGGGAGCGAGAGTGTGCAGCCACTAGAGCTGGGGGACCCCCATGGGGCACATGTCTGAACCATGTCAAGTCTGCCAAAGCTGGAAAGACAGAGGCGCCATTGGAATGCCCACTGCAGCAGAGAGCCCTGGTCGCAGACAGTTTCCCCGAGGTATCACCTCATGCAATCCCCAGGGTCACTGGGTCTTCAGAAGGTGCTGATACCCTGAAGTCAAGGGCCCTGGAGAGGCTTGACCTGCCTGGGAGGGATGTGGGGGAGGTTGCCAGAGGGAAGAATGTGTGACCAGACGTGGGAACTGGGGCGGGGCTGGGGAACGAAGGGCAAGGATCTGAGTGGGACCCTGAGTGGCACTGGTGGGCTGCAGCAGTGGGGATTGCCACACTGAGATCTGCACTCAGAGGGCCCCTACAGCTGCCAGGAATGTGAGCAGAGCCCCCTGGGAGGCTCCCTGCCACTGGAGTCTGAGTATAGCACTAAAGATAGCAGGAGGGCCTGGGAGAGTATTGGGATTCTGCACCGACAGCTGACCCCGACAGGTGCAGAGGCCTCAGCAGGCGGCCCCAGTGTCCTGAGCCAGGTGGGACCCTCCCCCACAAACTCTTAGGAAGGCCCCTGAGCCACGGCAGGTCTCCACTGCTTTCAGGGGGGCTCCTTGGGCTGAGCGTGAATGTGCGTGTCATCTGCCGGTTCCCCTGTCCTGTCTCCCCTGGAAGTTGCTGTTACGTACCCCGCCACTTTGGCCCCACCATAGGCCCTAGAGACACTTATTTTTGATTCTGGAAGCAGAAGTTGCTGAGGAGTCTGGTTTATTTTAAAATGCAGTGAAGGAAAAACCTGGTGTGACCTGAGGGCATCTGCCCAGCTGCTCAAGGGCAAGAACGGGAGGAAGGGGAGCCCAGCACACGCGGCCGCTGAATTGTGCTTCATGCCCTGTGGGATCAGTGTGGCCAACACTTCCTCAGGCAGCATGGGGGGCCGGGGACAGCATGCTCCTGGCTGCCTGAGGACAAGGTTCAGGCAAGAAGGCTTCAGGGGCTCCAGGTCAGCCTCACAGAGGGGAGAGAAAAGAGTGGGGTGGCCCTATAGCATTGGCCTGGTCTCCCCAGCCCAGGAAACAGTGCAGGTAAGTTCTCATTTCCCAGCTGGCAGGCCCAGGGCCTGGACTCCAGAGTAAGCCAGAAGAGGGAGCAGGCTCTGCCCAGGTGACTGGAGGGCAGCTCGTACCTCCCTGGGTGCCCAGGCTGGCCGGGCTCATGGGTCCTCTCCCCTTCAGGATTGTGAGCACCTGCCATGTGTCCTGGAGTTTTTGATGTTGCATTTTATTCACTTAAGATTCATAGTTAAGTTATCTTTGTTGGCTAGGCACAGTGGCTCTTGCCTGCAAACCTAGCACTTTGGGAGGCCAAGGTGGGAGGATCAATTGAGGCCAGGAGTTGGAAACTAGCCTGGGCAACACAGCGAGACCCCATCTCTACAAAATATATATTAAAAAATTAGCTGGGTGTGGTGGCAAGTGCCGTAGTCCCAGCTACCAGGGAAGCTGAGCCAGGAGGATTGCTTGAGCCCAGGAGTTGGAGGCTGCAATGAGCCATGATCAAACCACTGCACTCCAGCCTGGGTGACAGAGGAGACCCTGTCTCTTAAAAAAAAGTTCACTTTGTAAACACATGGATTTGATGGTGAATAAGAGTGGGCCTCTCCCCATTCCAGCAGAGGACATTAGTGGAGCCCCAAGCCTTGGTTCCTGAGGAGTTTCTGCCCTGAGCAGTGGAGGGCAAGGAGGCTGGAACACAGGCAGCTGCAGGGAAGTTCTGAGGCACTACTGCTTTGTTGAGGCACAGGGAGCTGATGGCAGGAGGGGGGCCCAGAACCCCAGAGGAGCGGTGCTCCCATGTAGACTCCAGGACTGCTTTCCATGGGAACAGTATGTCAGCACAGTGGCACAGCTGGGAGGCTGTGGACACCGCTGGCTCCATTTTTGGGGCAGCCCCCGCCAGGGCTGACCAAAGGGCTGTAGGACACAGGCAGCTACTGTGATGTGGGTAGAGGCCTGCAGAGACTGGTGTGGGAGCTGAGTGTTTCCCAGTCCTGGGTTGAGGTGGGCCTTGGAGCGTGTTACTGTGGGATCCTGAGGGCTTGAGTCAGAGGGACGAAAGTAGCAGCATGTGTCAGGGGTGGTCTTCCCAAGACCCCAGCCCCTCCTCTGGATGGGAGTGATGAGTACTCCCAGGGTAAGGAAGCTCTAGCCTCCCTACGGGGCTGGAGCCTGGGACCCAGTAGCTGGTGCTCCGAAGGCACGCGATCGTAGGAAGAGGGCACCGAAGCGCCATGCTCTTCTGGGCAGGTCTGAGTCCAAAGGCGCCACTGGGCAAGGGGCCTAGGGGCACGGGGGCCTGCCCAGGAGCCCACTTGTGCTCGGCTCACTCGGTACCCGGGACCCGGCTCCCGGCCCAGCACTGCCCTGGGGGGCTGCGTGCCCAGGGGCCGGGATGAAGCTGGGGCCCGGCCTGGAGCAACCCTTGACCTGAGCTCCAGGGCTTGTAGGGTAGTCTCCTAGGCAGCAGGGTAGAGCCGACTTCACTGGACGCACGCCCGAGCCCTCCCTGGGAAAGAAGCCCACTCGCGCCGCCCGGCGAAGACCGCGCCGCACAATGCCACAGCGCGTGCGCAGCCGCTCGCGACCGCGCGCCCGGCTCTTGTGCGCGTTCGCGCATGTGACGTAATCCTCCGAACGGGGCGCACCGTCACCCTCCAGCCACCAGGGGGCGCCGCCGGAGCGCTTTGGCTGCCACGGCGCGTGCGCCCCTCCGGAGCGCATTTGGTTCCCGGCTCTCCCGGCCCTTGGGCCGTCCTTTTCAACCCTTGAATTGTACTTCCGGTGCGAAGATCAGGGGCAAGATGGTGCCGCCGGTGCAGGTCTCTCCGCTCATCAAGGTGAACCAGGTTTCATGGCCGCTGCCCGGTGCTCGGAGCTCCCGCGTCCTGCCCCACCCCTCCCGCGACGCCCACCCCGCGAATCCCGACCCCTCCCCCGCGCCCCCGTCCCGCGAATCCCGACCCCGCCCCGGTCCTCCTGCCCCGAGTACCCGGCCGCGCTGACCGCCCTCTCCCACCGCTCTCTGCTGCAGCTCGGCCGCTACTCCGCCCTGTTTCTCGGCGTGGCCTACGGAGCCACACGCTACAGTGAGTGACGGCGGGGCCAGGGCCGGGGGCTGCTCGGCTTCCCTGTGGGACTCCCAGTGCCGTTTAGTAAACCCCAGCGCAGAAAGGGGACAGGGGCGGGTGCGAGGCTGCAGTACACATTCTCCATCCTAGACCCGCAGAGGCGCCAGCGGGCTTGGCCCCCGGGACGAAGCCACAGCGCGGACGTAGGGTTGACTTGGGATCAGCTTACCCACGGTGCAGGCTTCTGAGGCCCGGGCGGGGACTGGAAAGCGCCTAGTTCTTGATGAAATCTGGTACTGGGTGGGTGTTGGAGTGCTGAGGTCTGACGAGAGGCAAGTGGACCTCTGAGGGTTGGCAGAGGACCTAGGGAGCAAGTGCGTGAGGGGTGGGCTGCAGGGACCCTGTAGCCTCTGAGTTGGGCTCTTTTTGGGGTCAGGATCAGGCCTCGGCCTGCATTGAGGTAAAGGAGGGTAGACAGCAGGTGTATCTGGTTCACAGCATCGCTGAAGATGCCTTGATCTGTGGGCTCAGTTCCTTTTATGCAGCGTTTTCAGTGAATCGAACCCCCGTCCCCCCAACAGGTTACCTAAAACCCCGGGCAGAAGAGGAGAGGAGGATAGCAGCAGAGGAGAAGAAGAAGCAGGATGAGCTGAATCGGATTGCCAGAGAACTGGCAGAAGGTACTTGTGTCACTGGTTCTAGATTGTCCCCTCCCAAGTTTTCAGGAAAAATAGCTGGTCTCCAAGTGATCCCTGTTTGAGGGTGGGTCTGCCTCTCCGTTTGTCCAGCAGGGGCCCAGTGTGAAGAAGCGTACTTGTGGAGGAGGCGGCGGAGGGGGTCTTGGTAACAGTCAGTCTTTGTTGAGGCCCAGGCCACAGGCTGCCCATGTGAAGCCACTTCACCCCACTTAGAGGCCATGAGTTGAACATACTTTCCCCCTGACTGCCTTGGCAGAGTCAGGTCCAGGTGTGCAGGGATAAGGAGACAAAGGAGGACAGTTTAAGTAGGGCATGGCTGAGTTCTCCTAGAGTTAGATATTGGGTCGTTTAAAGGCTGGAAGTCTGAAGTCCTTTCCAGTTGCCTAAGAGTGTAATAATGTAGGTACTTTCTTTCTAACCTTTCAGCCCAAGAGGACAGCATATTAAAGTGAGAAGTCTGTGCCAGCCTGCTTTTCTCTGGAGCAGTAGTGGATGAATAAAGCTTCCTATGTTGTGTGATTCTCTGGCTCCCTCTCACCTACTACTGGCGTCAGTTGTCTTGATTTACTGGACTCAAGCTCGGCAGTTGTACTCTGTCTTTGCAGTTTGTTTGGGGTGGAGAACGGGGAGGGGGTTTCAAAAGAACTAATTGTTGTTACCAGTCACAGACCCAAAATGTATTGCACAAACAGCGAGAAGTGCAGAAACCCATTGCTTGTTGTTTCTGGGGAATCCAGTAGGCCAGACCCCTGGGTGGGCCTTGGCCCTCTGCCCCCTACTCACAGATCCTCCCTTTGATCCCAGGAGGTGGCTAGGTCAAACTGAAGACTGAAATCCAGGGATGTGGCCTCCCGAGGATGAAGCCAAGGTGCTGCTTGAGCTGTTCAGAGAGGTTGGGCCTGTGCTACCTGGCCTTCCAGCCCCTGCTGGCTGTGAGCCTGTCAGCCCCTTGGTCTGGTGGTTTGGAATGGAAAAGGTGATGTTGCTATTAATACTTCCCAGCTATATGCCTTGAGCAAATTTCTAGGCTTTGAGCCCTAGTTCCATTTGTAAAATGAGTTCACTTGCCTATGGGAAGAGAAAATGAGAAGCCCTACAAGTGTTTTAAAGCCTTGTGCTTGGTTAGGGTGAGGTTTGAGTGAGGGAGGTGACATATGCCTCCTGAGCTCGGTGGGATGGTACCCAGAGGGGCTGTCTGCTGTTGGGTCCTTCTGAGAACCCCTAGGAGCTCCCAGTCACAGGCTCTTGTTACCAGGGGCCACTGACCAGTGAGATGAAAATTAAACTGGCTCCAGTGGGCTGTCCCTGCCCAGTGTCAGGGGAGCTCACATCACGAGTTGAAAATCCTTACTTGCTACCAAACAATACCCATTTCAAATGTGAGTTCTGTGATGTCCCATTAGGTCTCCTGCCTCTGCCCTTCACTCTAGGCTTACCAGTATTAAGTCACTGGGGCACGTGGTTGCTGCTGTAAGGAAAGCTGCCGCTAGAAGGAGAGTCTGGGCCCATCGCCAGGTGCTGCCATCAGGGCCCACCCCGACCTCCCTGTTGGGAAGGGAGCATTCCATGTGGCGCTTGGTGCGGATCGTTTCTGCTCAGACTGCTCAGGTCTGATGGCTGCTCTGCTCGTGGCCATGACCTTTCTGGCAGAATTTCCTGACGGGTCAAATACAATGTGTTCTCTGCGTAATTCCACCACATAAAAAATAGGCATGTTGTTTTCTCTTTATTTTAAATCTCTGGCCTTGTGTTTTTTCCTAAACCGGATGGGAAACAGCGTCTCTGAACCCATCTATCTACCTATATACACATATATACATGTGCAGTTGTGAATGTTCCACTGTATGATTTTAGACACAGTTCACAGACCTTTTCAGAGATCTCCTGGTGGTAACTACTACGTATCCAAAAAATGGATGAGTAATGTAGCCTACACTGTAAATTATTCATAGTTGGCTTTATAAAAACCTTAACAAACCCCCAAAATATCCAAAGTTATCTTCAGTCATTTTCTTGGGCTTCCTAACCTCTTGTACCAAACTGCCACAGGCAGGGCCTGAGTCCTAGTGTATGAGTGGAGTGTGGGAGCCGTCGGGTCCCCACGGGACTGGTGCTCACAGGATGCAGCAGGTTGAAGACTTGGGTGCTGGGCCGCCATTGCAAATTTCTGTGCCCACTGCAAGAGAGGACAAGACCGAGAGTGAGAACCATGCACTGGCTGCACCAGCCTAGTGTCTTCCCCTCCACTCCCTGTGTCCTCTGCCAGCCCCTGTAGGAGAAAGGACAGAGCCTCGGTCTGTGACCATACCAAGCCGATTAGCCGGGGCTGAGCCTGCCTTAGTGCTTTAGCCCTGTTGACACTGTGCCTGGATTAGTCAGTCCTGGCCTCCCACAGCCCTGGCTGCCTTGTTTACGTTGTTCTGCCGATAGTGTAGGATTGCAGGAAATAGCAAGCAAAACCCCAGAGCTAGGTGGTTGAGCACAGGCCACACCAAGGCCGATGCCACTGGGGTTCTAATTTGGGGTGCACTGACTTGTTACAACTGAGTCCCACTCCCATAATGTAGGGTGTGGAGGTAAGTGCTCTGGACACAGTATAGGACTTTTTTTTATCGTAGCTTGCCTATTTTCTGGTTTTTTTTTGTTTGTTTTTAATTTTAGGTTTGCTGTTTTGTTTCTGAGGGTGGCATGGGAGGAGGGGCAGGTTTCTAAGCTACTGGGTGGTGGAAGAAGCTGTTAAGAGGTCAGTGGACTTTCCTGTTGTAGAGGAAAGAACACAGGTGCTTCCTTAGGAGAAACGTGAGTTCACTGGCTACGAGTGCGAGGAAATCCTTCACTCTGGGTCTGTTAACCAGGTGGAGGCGGCGCGCCGTTTCCGCGGGATGGGGCCTCCCCACCACGGCTCCTGCAGTGGGAACCTGAGTGGGCCAGCAACAGGGCTGTCTGAAATCTGCTCTGTTGTGTGATTCTCTGCCCCTTCACACGCCACTGGGGAGGTCCATTGTCACTGCCCCGCAGGCCGAGGGAGCGCAGACCTTTCTTGGTCGGCTGCTCCTCCTCCTTCTTCTTCTCCTCCAGGGCCTTCACTTTGGCCTCATACTCATCGGCCAGCGCCTTCCACTCCTTCCTGTTGTTCTGCAGCCGTTCAAACATGGGCAGGATCTCTTCGTGGAAACGGGAAAACTCCTGAAGGGAACAGAGAAATTGCTTTCCCTGCCCGTCCCCATCACCCTCCCTCGCTCACCCGTGGGGACCAGCAGGCAGGAGGAAGAACCACTGAGATGGCAAAGCCCTAAAAAGGGACAAGGCCTCAGGGCTTGTGTTCCCAATGTTAGAACGGGGAGCTTTAGGATGTGAACGCCCTCCATGCGGACAGTGTTAGCAGGGAGATGCAAGAACACAGTAGAAAATGCCGCCTGCAGGGGCCAAGGGGCAGGATGGAGGGAAGGGTGGTGAACGCGGGCGGAAGGACACAGGTGGACGGGCAGGCCCTGCGGCCCTCTCCCGTCTCTCGCACGCAGGCACACATCAACGAGCACAGGTCACAAATCACACGTGGACGTGGTGCTGGTGGAGTCCAGGAAGGCAGTTGGGGGATGCCCTGTGTAGGGGCTGTGACTTGTTGCCACTTCTGGACTGAGTGTCCTCCTGGTCCCACCTTCCCCCAGAGGGACACAGCCCAGTCAGGGACAACTTCACGGAGAACCAGATAACGTCCTCCTCAGGGTGTGGGCTGTCACCACAGAGCACACCCAGAGAGATGCAGCTCTTGTGCAGCCAGGGTGTCATAGGGCATCACACAGGGGCCTCTGCAGTTGGACCCCTGCCTCAGTACGTCCCCCAGCTCCTGCCCTGTGTCCTTGTGGGGCCAAACGGCAGACCAACATGGAACACCTCCGTGCCACGCACCTTGTACACGAATGTGCACACGAAGTCGATGAAGCCAACCTGCAGCTTGGGGAGCTCGGCTGCCTTGTTCCTGTCCATCATAGGCTGTGGGGGAAGCAGAGGAGGGTCACAAAGGGGCCCCTCCTCAGCGCCTGGGGACCTCACCCAGCCCCCAACTCCACAGCTCTGATCAATTCACTCCCAGAGACACAAAAAGAGCAGAGCCCAAGGTTGGAGACAGCCTGGCCCAGGCTGCCAATCCTGCTTGACAGACGCTGGCCCTTGGAAGCAAAAAGCCAAGACACCCCCCATGGCCAGCTGTCGGCGGCGGCGCCTCTCCACATCCCTTGTTGGCTCTAGTCAGTCCAGCCTTGGGGCCCCGGTGGGCAGCAGCCCTCGCCCATGTGCTGGCGGTGTCTCCTGAGCTGTGTTGCTGACTCGAAGATCCTGGTGCAGTCAGGCTCCCCGTGGCATGCCCTGCCAGGGGCCTTCCTGGAGCAGAGCTTGGTCCAGCTGGGCTTACCCGCAGAGCCGCCTGGACCCACAGAGGGGCCCTGGCTCTTCCAGTTTCGACGACTCTCATCTCTGCTTGAGCGTCAGCCCAGCCCTGCTTTTTCCATAATTTTACCCAGGTCCTGAGCCCCCTGAACTCATGTTGCACGGCCTTACAAAGTGAGATTAAGACTCAGGACCCCAGAAACCCCAGGTCCCAGCTGCCACTGAGCCAGGCCAGAAGCTCCTGAGGACCATGAAGGGGTCTAATCTCCTTGTTGGGGTGGGAGGCTCTGGAAGCAGCACTCACAATGGGCTGCTGATCCAAGACTGTCCTTTCCAAGTCACCTTGTTCCCAGAACTCAGCGGCCACCAGAAGAGCGACCTGGAGGGCACACAAAGGCAGCCATCAGTGGGCTCTGTGCTGGTCAGAAGGCTCCGGGCCTCGTTTTCTCTGCCCCAGACTCTGGGGTCCCGCCACTCAGGGCTTGGGGCCACTCTTGAGTACAGGGGGTTCTTCCCATGTTGCCGCCCCAGCCAGGGCTGGAGGCAGCCCTCAGTGTTGCTTGCAATCCACCGTCTGGGCTGCCCCAGATGCAGCCCCTCAAGCCTGTGAGGAGGCATTAATTCCGGGTCAATGTGGCCTGTGCGAGCACTAACCTTGCTCTGGACTTCCCAGGGCTTGGTGATGGCAGACAGGTCGCAGGCTGTCATCATCATGGCCCTACAGACAGACAGACCCAGTCACCAGTATTCACTGGATGCTTTCTGAGTGCAGGTAGTTTTTACATATTTTCTTACATGTAAGACAAGCCTGAGACAAGCCTGGGCAAAGACATTAGCTCTGAATCGACATTTTTTAGATGAAATAGATGAAGAAATGGAAGCTCAGGAAATAAAGTGAATGATTGCTGAAGGCCCCAAACCAAGAAGATGGCCTGTCTGCCCCCGAAGTCCTGCACTTTCTCCCCTGAAAATGGGGAGCGAATAGGGCGGGGCGTTTGTTTTGAGGCATCAGTAGGCTACTGAGAGATGTGCTGCTCTAGTGCCAGAGATTTGGGGGCCAGGGTCTCCTAGCTTGCCTGGGGGAAGGGTCTCAGGATCAAACTGCTGATGGGCCGGTGGGGCTCATGCTCTGCAGGGGAGCAGCCCTGCCACTCACATGACAATCTCCTTCCGCGTCGTCTCCAGGGACAGGTACTCCACCCAGCTCTTCTTGTCCTCATAGTTCTTGGACTCATCCACGATCTTCTGGAACATTGTCCTCTTTCTGAACCCCAACAACAAGGGAGGGCGCAGGTGGGAGCAAGCGGAGGGCACCCACCCCCCTCCCCTGCAGGAGGCTGGAGGCCAGAATCCAGGCCCCCTCTGCACCAGGATTGGGCCCCTCCCCTGGCTGTGCTGGTTGAGCCTCAACCCTGGACTCCCCCGCCCACCCCCTCGAAGCTCCCTGTTCTGGCCCCTACTGCCCTCGGGAAGGGTGCCCACTTGAAATAGAGCGCCAGGTCCGTTGCGATGATGGCAATGTCCATGAGGTGGATCACATGCTCGTGCTGACGCCGGTTCAGGTTCTGGTAGATGTTCAAGCTCTGCCGGAGGCCACTTGGTTGGTCTCAGGGCTGTGCCCAGGGCCATTGGGGCCCCCCACGGTCATCTCAGACCATGAGGACCCAGCCCCTCCCACTCCTGGGTGGCCTGTCTGTGCCTTTCAAGCCCTGGCCCTCTGGCCATTGTCAGGTGGATCCTGTTCCTCTGCAGCCAGGACGGCCCTGCCAACACCTCCCTCAGGGTGTCCACCCATCCCACAGCAGCTTCTACCTTGGGTCATCTCTCTGGACCCAGGTGGCCACACAGACCACAGCCCGGGGTGGGGAGGGAGGAGTGCTTGGTGTCCTGGTTCCTTGGGAACCACCCCACTCAGCCACCCCTTGCTCAAAATCCAGCCACCCCTTGGCCGGGCGCGGTGGCTCACGCCTGTAATCCTAGCGCTCTGGGAGGCCGAGGTGGGCGGATTGTTTGAGCTCAGGAGTTCGAAACCAGCCTGGGCAAGAGCGAGACCCCGTCTGTACTAAAAATAGAAAGAAATTAATTGGACAACTAAAAATATATAGAAAAAATTAGCCGGGCATGGTGGTGCATGCCTGTAGTGCCAGCTACTCGGGAGGCTGAGGCAGGAGGATTGCCTGAGCCCAGGAGTTTGAGGTTGCTGTGAGCTAGGATGACGCCACGGCACTCTAGCCAGGGCAACACAGTGAGACTCTGTCTCAGAAAAAAAAAAAAAATCCAGCCACCCCATGGAAGCCTCTGCCCCCCACCAGGCAGTCCCGGACCTCTGCCTCCTTGGACCCCACCCCCCCATGATGGGGATGTTTCCAAACTCAGCTCTAGCCCTGGGGCTCCTCACACAGCCCACTGGTGTCCTCCTGCTTCCAGAGCCAGGCCCACCCCCTCTGGCTTCAGCCCCGGGTCAGAACACCGCTCCAAACACCAGCTCCTCAGGACAGGGACGCGTGGTACCCAAGAGCAAGACACAAACCTCCTCCGAGAGCAGGAACTTCCCAAACTCCAGGTGGTGCCGTTCCAAAATTGAGGAGCCATGGAGCTTGGCTAAGGGATTCTGGGACCTGTTACAGATTTCATTAAAAAACAAATGAATGGTTACAAGAGCAGCCGAGAGGCGGTGGGGGTGAGGGGCCAATGCTGGGTGCCCTGCTGGTGTGGGGGCACCCCTCAGTCCCCAGGGGCTACAGCCCCTATAGCAGGCCCCACTTTCTGCATCACAGCTAGTGGGGTGCTCAGATTCATGCCAAGGGTGTGGAGGTGATCTGTTGCTAATTCACATGCCGCCCGTGTGCCCCAGCATGGAGCCTACTTCATCTGGTACAGGTTGTTGGTGCCACGGTGGTCAATGTCGTGGCACAGACCGGCTGTCACCATGGCGAAGGCCTCCAGGTCCGTGTAGTAGCTCTTCAGCTTGCCCGTCTGCGGAGACAGGACCTCCCATGCCCATGTGCCTGGCTCCAGTGGGGGGCAGGGGTGGGGGTCGGGGTGCTGGGCCTGAGTCTTCTCCCCTCCCCCCAGGTGCCCCCCACCTGTGGCCAGGCTGGAGTGTGCAGTCAGTGGGTGTTGGCCTCCTCCAATCCCTCTGCCCTTGAAGGGCCTGTCTCTCGCTCTTGGGGTATGTGGGGCACTACCCTTGGCACCAGGAGGGTCTGCACAACCCTGGTCATTCAGGAGGCCTAACAGGGAGACCCTTCTTGAGTCCCAGCCACGCACCATGAGCAACGTGAACATCGTCTGGGCCACGTTGAAGCCATGGCGCCAGTTGTGGTAGGTGATTCTCCGGTACCCTTTGCTGATAGAGAACAGGAACCGCACCAGGACCTGAGGGAGCCGAGAGGACACATGGGCCCTGGCACCAGGTGGAAGTCCCACCAAAGCCTCATGTGCTGATGGCTCTCTGTTGGGAGCCCTGCTTCCAGTCCATCATCCCCACGCCCTGTCTTCTAGGCCCCCATGACCTTTCCTGTGCCCCCTATTCACTGCTGGCCCCTGCCGGCCTTCATCGGGGGGAGTGCCATGTCAGGCACCTTGAGGTGGAGCTGGGCAGGGCAGAATCCCATCACCCACCTAGTGGTCCATCCACCAATCTATCCTTCCTTCCATCCACCATTCTATCCATCCACCCATCCATCCATTCATCAATTCACCCTCTCACCCATCTATCACCTATACATCTAATCACCCACTCACCTATCCATCACCCATCCATCTCATCCATCCACTCATCTCTCCATCTATCCATCCACCCATCCATTCATTCATCAATTCACCCTCTCACCTGTCCATCACCCATACATCCATATAACCGTCCATTTACCCATCTACTCATCCATTCATCCACCCATCCACTAACTCATTCATCCATCCACATCCATCCATCCATTCCATCTATCGATCCACCTGCCCACCCACCCACTCATTCATCCATCTGTTCATCTAACCATGCACTCATCCATCTCATTGTTTATTTTAGCCTTACTTGCTGCATGTATTTTACCTGTTCTGTGATGAACACGTCTGCCCCCCAAACTTCCTGTGGGACCTGGGACCCCAACACAACCCCTCATCTCCTGCCTGGGGGATCCAGGATCCCCTACCACATCCCCATTCCCACATCCTGGGGGACTTAGGACCCCGCCTATGTCCCCCTGTCACGTCACCCACCTCCTGGGGGATCTGGAACTTGCGGACCACGCCCAGCTCGTAGTACATCTGGATGCCACATTTGACCAGCTCCAGTTCCGTGCACTCCAGGTCAGAGAAATGGAACTCATAGATGTCAAACTTCTTGGGCCCCGGCAGCTCTTCCTTCTGTGGGGAGAGACCTTGGGTTGAGGGAGGTAGGCCCATGGCAGCCCTCATTTGTTCTTCCACCTTTCTCCTCTCTGAAGCCCCTGTCCAGCTGCAGATGCCGGGGCATCTCTGCCAGCATTTGTCCTCCCAGTTGCTCCAGCCTGGAGCCCAGGACCCTGCTGGTTCAGGCCATCCTCCCTCCTCCCTCTTCTCCTCCCACCCTGTGGCCCAACAGTGAGGACTGTGCCCAGCTGGGCAGACAGAGTAATGGTGGGGAGACAAACAGGCAAACACAAAGGGATGCACCTAAAAAGAGATGCAGACACATGTGGATACACAATCACACCTGTGAACACACAGGCACACCCATGGATACACAGGCACATGTGTGCAGACTCACACCACGCAGACACATGCACACAGCCGTACAGTCATACAGATGAGTGACTTTCAGAACCTGCCAAGTGCATTCACATGCCAAAGGCCTCCTATGTAGGGCTGACAGCCCCTGGGTGACTCTGGCTAAATCACGCAGGCAGGTGCAGGGTGATGGAGATGCCATATCACTGCCAAGTTACGAAGCGATGGTTTCTGGGAGATGCACAAGCACATGTCCATAGGCAACATGTGCACGCACACATGCACACACGTGCACACACACACACTGGGTGTTGTGGGCTCCTGGCCACTCCTGTAGCAGGGATGACACGCATGGACATGTAGTTCAAGCCATGCCCACAGAAACTAAGCATATATGGTTCTGGAAAAGTACAGAAGAAACAGGTGGACATGGAGGTACACTCAGCAGTGCAGACGTCGAGTTACATCGTTAGCCGGACAAACACTCTCAGAGACATGCTGGGTGAGACTGAAAGCCAGGACGATGTAGATACACATGCGAGGCATGTACACACATGTGAATGCACACGCAGACAGCAGCCAATGCCACAAGATGACACCGTGTGTGCCAAGCACCTCTGAGCTCAGAGAAAGGAGAACTATCCCCTCCCACCTCAGGGGTGGCCAATCTCCCTGCGAGGGATGGGAGCGGGACCCTCACCAAGACCAACCCCAGCTCGTCCTCATCGCAGTCAGCCGGCTCCTTCCCCAGGCGCTCCCTGGTTGGCTAACAGAGAAGAAAGATGTGTCCTGAGGCAGTGACAGTGTCACCTCTGCCCTCGTGTGTGGGATGCAGTGATGTCTGAGTACTAACGGTCAGCTTTCCTCTTGCCAAGGCCCAGGTGGCCTCTGATTCCAGAGATTAATGGTAATGTGTGTGTGGCAGCTCACTTTCCTGTGTGTTCCTGTGTCCTGGGCACTGTTCTAAGCCACCCACATGTGTGACTGATGGAATCTCCCGGGACGGACCAGGAAGCTGAGGAAACTGGGGCATGGGGAGGGCACCCTGGGCTGGGCAGTCAGGGTGGGCCCCGGGGTGTGTCCTGGCCCCGGGGAGCCCGCCTCCCTGCTGCAGAGGGACTGCTGGCAGGAGGGGCAGTACCAGGATGGCCTGGATTTCATCCTTGTCGCATTTCACGTGGTAGAGAACCATGTCCTGCGCGATGTCCTTGCGATTCTCCAGCTTGTTCATCTTGTCGTAGGTGTCGGTGTTCATCACAGACCAGCCCAGGAACTGCGTCAGGGACTGGGAGAGAGGGCAGCAGCGTCATCCACCCCAGCGCACCTTGGGGCGCACCTCTTGTGCACTGTACCCCGCGGCTTCTGAGCAGGTCCCCAGGTGCCGCCAGAGAGCTTCTGCTTCCAGGAATAGGCCCCACCAGCCCTTCCTGCCCCCACTCTCCCTGGCCTTGTGCTGGGCGGGGCCGAGGTGCGCGGTGAAGCCCCACACAGCCAGTGTCCCACACATGTCACCTCCAAAGCCACACCTGGTAACAGGTGTTTACCTCCATTAGGACTTCGTCCTGTTCGTCAAAGGGTTTCCCATCTTTCCTGTTGTAAAACGTTGCAACACCCACGATCTCCTCCTTCTTGTTGACGATGGGCATGGACAGCACGTTCTTGATGACCCAGCCCGAGTCATCCAGGGCACCCTCCTGCAGGGTGGCATCCAGAGCTGAGCACTCCCCACGACTGGCCCTGGCCCCCGGGGAGTGTGAGCCTCTTTTATTCTGCCTCTAACTGTGAGGATTGGGTCGCTGCTTCTGTCTCTCCACTCCCTCCTTGTGTTTGAATTCATGTCCATGGTTTTTGTGTCGTAGTTTTCCCACTAGAGGAGGTGGAGGATATTTTCCCACTAGGCCTGTGAAGGCTTTGGTCACACAGGAGCTCCCTCTCAGGAGGGTCCTGTGCTTGGTCGAATGCTCTGCTGTCATGCTCTTAAAGTTCTTAATAATTGCTCAACAAGGGGCCACATATTTTCATTTTGTACTGGGTGCTGAAAATTGTGTAGTTGGTCCTATCTTCCATCCCTTCAATACTAGGCCTCGCCAGTGAAAAGTGGACAGTGTGCCAATGGCAAACCATGTTTCCACTAGTCCATTCCATTTGACTCTCCACCTCCCCCAGGAACGAGCCTTTGCTGGCCATGTGGTGCCAGATGAAGGCATGTGCAGCAGACTCAAACCCTCAATAGGG